ACACAAAATCACAAAAACACTGGCCATCTAAAGTACTAACATGTTTCCAATAAAATATGAAAAAATACTTTAGGGATTAGTAGTAATGTGTAATATATTACACACATTATTAAGCATTCTAATCACAGTGTAAATAAGATGTTCTATAAGTTGATGGCCAATACAATATAAACACTGTGTGAATATTTGGAATTTACTTACTAACTGCATTGTGGTTCTGCAGAGACCAATGACCCAGACTCATATAATAATTAGGTTGTGTCTTTTCATCTATGCTCAGATTCTGATTGGATGAGGTTGTGTTCTTTTATTTCTCCACATCATCCACATTTAGCGTTCTATGTTTCAGTTTTTTTCATCATTGGTTCCATTTTGCTCAATCTGTGCTCAGTCTATGCTTACATTTTACTACTTATGATCCATATTTTTGAGTTCAGTTTAGTGAATTTGCATTTGCATGGAAGTGGTCACTGAATACGGAGTACTATTGTCACCATTAAGGAACCACCTCACCATAGGTTCTGCACCAACCAGCATCGCCTTGTAGAAATGCATTGAGTCATTGCATCTCTTTGGACAGTGTTCAACATCTCCATGTAGAGAGTGTAGGTGCTACATGTAGGTCCTGCAATGATTGCAGGATCTCCTTCAGGAAATCTCTCTAGTTGCTATACGAGTGACATCCACTAGACATCCACTAGCTGTAAACTTAAAAAACTGAACTGGACTGAAAAGGCTGTGTTTACTCTGTTGATCCTGCAGGGACAGTCAGTATGCCCTAGAGCATCTACCTTAAGCAGTAGTAGTTTTGGTGACTATAGTGTCCTGTTGCAATCATGACTGTGTGAACAGAGAAGGTGTTTCAAGTGTTTTAATAAATGTAATTATATTGTATTTGTACTTTCAATAAAAAAAAAAAAAGTTTTCAGTGGTTTGGTCTGTCTGATGATTTTTGTTGGATTTTAAAATGAATCACCAAATATAATAAATGTAATTTGAACAACCGTCTGCAGGCATAGTAAGAAAAGAGGAATATAAATACTTCATGGTCTCATAAATTGCAAAGAATTTATTTGCATTTATATTAGACAATTTGACACATATGTTTTACAGGGTCATGAATATCTTTTCATTAGTATAGGTACAGTGTACACATTGCACTTATGACTCACAAAGGTTTATTTTTACGATGGCTTTTATTTAAATGTTTTCTTTGCATTCCACAAAAATCTAATCCTGCCATATAAAATATCGACCCATAAAAAAGAATAATTTAAAATAGTGGATATTTATTTGAAGAAATTCAAAAATCACACAAGGGCTGTTGAAGTTAATATACCCATGATCTTTCTCTTACTCTACAAAAAATATTGCATAATATGTAGTCTAATTTGCAATGTACTGAAGCTATGTTGGTTGATGATTGTTTTCTTTAAAAGGAACTCTGTAGCCCTCCTGTCTCTATCCTTGTTCAGTGGCACTGCCACTCAATTTAATTTGTTTTCCATAATGTGGTATATAGAAATATAGATTAGTATTTTTATGAAAACCAAGCTGAATATTTCATCAATTTATAATTTTCCAATCCTCAGTGAGTGATGCTAATTAGGAAATAGATAAATAGATAAAACATATGATATCACCAGACAGTATTTCGGAGTTGTACCGAAATTCACAAACTGTGCAGGAAAGAAGATAACTGTCTTTGAACTCTCAGCTGAAGCTATTTGACAACATGCCAAAGGAAAGGATAGCTTGAAATATTTTACACATTTTCTATTAAAAAGATACTTGCTGAATACATTTTAAATGTATCTACACAACATGCAGACAGTTTTAAATTGCTTTGTGGTGGTGAATAGGAAATATCAGTCCTCAAAGAAAAAAAAGATTCTATTTGAAATTATAACTGGTGTAAACATATTATGGAAACCTGAATGCAAAACATTTTAAACTACAATATATTATAGAATACAGAATAACTAAATAACCTGATGGTCCAAAAACCACTTAAAATAGTTTGAGTCAATAATTGTTATAAACCAAGGTTGGTATCAAACAGAACATGTCAAATCATATTCTATTCCCCCAGATGTTTCTCCCACCAATGCAGACATAGCACTTTTACCTCTGACCCAGGAGCTATTCAATGATGAGTATGATGAGCCAGAGGAATTAGATGAGGGGAGTGGAGAGGACAGACAGCAGCCCAGCGTTTTCTCTGGCAGTTTCTGTGCATTTGCTTCTGCATCTTATTCAGCATCTCTAAACCTATCTGCATCTGCTGTAGAATTGCCTCAAGCAACGAAGGCCGTTGATACTTCAGCTGCAAAGTAATTCGACCACTGTCAATGTTATCATCACCAGCACCACCACTACCACCAATGCAACGATCATCAACATCACCAGTACTGGCACCATTATTTCTATTAGCATTAATTAACCAAGTGCTACAATACATTTGCGACCGTTTTTACCTCTACCGATGCAAGTCCTCATGCAGAGTCAAGGGTACTGTATTGCACCAACAAAGCAACCTTCACCTTGAGTGCCTCCCTGAAAGTTGGCTTGCTAAGTACATATTGTGTGGCAAGGAAGTAAAGAGGGGGAGGGTGAAGTGTTAGCGCACTCATAAATGTCAGTTTGAAGCAACATCTGCAAAGATACCACTGTGTCATTACTGATGGAGGTAGAAGAAGAAAATAATACTAGGGCAGGCAGCAGGTGCACTGGTGCTATATCTGATTCTACACAGTTGTCACTATTTAGCACCAATTAGTATTTTTATGAAAACCAAGCTGAAGATTACATCAATTTATAATTTTCCAATCCTCAGTGAGTGATGCTAATTAGGAAATAGATAAATAGATAAAACACCCTTAGGCAGAACGGAGGAGGGGTGTGAGGATAGCGCCGGTAGATGACTGAGACAGGTTGGATAGGAACAGTTGCATCCCTCATTGTCCAGTGAAATAAAAAAACAGAAAATGAAATAAAAAGTTTATCTTGCCTAGCTGCTACTGCCAGTACCACTTTATTATTATTATTATTATTATCACCATTTATATAGCGCCAACAGATTCCGTAGCGCTTTACAATATTATGAGAGGGGGGATTTAACTATAAATAGGACAATTACAAGAAAACTTACAGGAATGACAGGTTGAAGAGAACCCTGCTCAAACGAGCTTACAGTCTATAGGAGGTTGGGTATAAAACACATTAGGACAGGAAATATCAATCAAATAAGGTGGGAGTGAAGCAGAACTGGAGGAGAGAGTAAAGTGCTGCCCTTTAGGAGAGAGCAAGAGACAGGTATGTGAGGTAGAGGTTAGTCTTGGAGGCCATAAGCTTTCCTAAAGAGATCGGTTTTAAGGCACTTTTTAAAAGACTAGGGAAGAGTCCGATGGCGGTAGGCAGGCTATTCCTCAGGAAGGGAGCCATCCACGAGAAGTCCTGCAAGTGTGAGTTGGCCGTACGGGTGCGAGCAACAGACAGGAGAAGGTCACAGGCAGAGTGGAGAGACCGAGAATACTTATGGATCTGTGAAGAGATATAAGAGCGGTTAGAATTGTTCAGTGCTTTATAGGTATGGGTTAGCACTTTGAATTGACTCCTATAGGATACAGGAAACCAATGTAAGGACTGACAGAGGGGTGAGGGGTGAGAGGACCGACTAGAGAGGAAAATCAGTCTGGCGGCAGCATTCATTACAGACTGTAGAGGGGCAATACGGCTTTTGGGAAGACCAATTAGGAAAGGGTTACAATAATCCATTCTGGAAATCACTAGAGCATGGACAAGCTCCTTGCTAGCATCTTGCGTAAGAAAGAGGCGGACGCGGGCTATGTTTTTAAAATGGAATCTACAGGATTTGGCAACATACTGGGTGTGAGGCTCAAAGGTCACTTATACCCACTCAGGGTCACTGATTTTGAATTGTTTGACTTATTTGAGATTTACCTCCACACATGTGGTTGGTAGAAACTGACAAGCCACTGTTTTACCGTCACTGACACTACATACTGGGTATGTGAAAAAGCTTTGTTCTTGTAAGGAAGAAATGGGTGAATGGGAGGTCAATTGTTCATTTTTTCCATTCTTTTTTGGACAAATCATCTATTTTGAACTTAAAATGGCTCTCACTTTACATTTTTTTTGTTCAGATATATAATAATCTAATTTTGTCAATGTCATTGCAAAGGTGCCTGGTATTGCATAGCCATTAGATCAGACAATATTGTTGCCATTTTTGCATGTTAGCACAGTCATAGGCAGCATTTTTCCTGCTGTTATGGTTGCCTGAATTGACTTTCTGATTTTTCTTCGGTATTGAAATTTAGCTGAGTCAATCAGCGGCATGAACTAGATTCCGCTGACTCGGCAACAAAAAAAAAGGAAGAAATAAATCTACCGAAGGGTTTCAAAAAAACTGAACATTTTCACCCTGAACAAGTCTAGTTATAGACTTAAAATTAAAATATGGTACTGCATTACATGTGTTTTGATAGAATGTCTTCTTTCCATCAGTCATAACAAGATAATTATTATATGCTTGAATATTTACTAACGAATCTCATGAATTAATGATTCTTACTAATTATTCCCTGTTAGTTTATCTTAAATTGCTTACATGCATTTTTGCATTTGTATTTGCTAACATTATGTCAAATAAAGCAATTAGTTGTATTTTTTGTGACATCCTCAAACTTTCCTTTGTAGAAACTTCTAATTTGTAGTAAACAAATGAATTCAAATAAATATTTCCTGTATATAGTGCAATTAGTACATTTAGCTGCAACACTGTCAAAATGAGGCTTAGGGGTCATTTCAAGGTTATTTAAAACTGAACTGTGACTTCTCTGGAAATTACATAATTCAATAAAATATAAAAAAAAAATAACCATAACTTGTGTTACTCTTTTTTGTTGCATGGGATGCTTAATTTTTTGCTTAAGTGTTTATTTAAGATTTAGCAAAAGACATCACACGTCAACTCAGGCCATTACAATGAGGTCATACAGTGCAAATGAGGAGGAGAATATAAACACAGTTTCACCATTTCCACTAAGTTCATTAGCAGAAAAGGATAACATTCCTAACGATGATTGACAGGTCACCAAGATAGAAGTGCACAGTTCAAGGACAGTGGAACCCATGTCTAGACTACAGAAATTCTAAATTTCATTTTATTTCTCAGACTTTAAAAATATACAAACATATTTGCTAAATATAGGAAAACATTGTTAAAAATCATAAAGATTTACAGTTTTCCTTTCATAACTAAAGAAGAGACTATTACAACAAAAACCTATTAGATATAATTATACAAGCCCTAAACCATCATTAACCATTTCCCATTTAATGCAAATTCACAATATGCATTTCCCCTAAAAGTGCATTTTATGTAAAATAACAAATGTTCAGATATCTTTGCCATAAATTTTTTCTCAATAATATATTTCATGACCATATGCTATGATTTGAGTATGGGTTGCACACATCAAGACGCCAATAAGAAAGCAGTCAGCAATTTTTATTTCATTTGCACAGAGCTTACAGCAATAAAAAGTCTTGTAACATTTATACATATGTTCCAATTTCTCTCAGTGTACATTAATGTATAAACTATTTATATTAAGGCATATATATGTATCACAGAAACTTGCAAATACAAGTACTTGGGACTGTTGGACTTGAATGACGTGATTTTTTTTTCAACATATCTAACTACTAAAGTATTTAAATTCAATGAATATGGAGCCATTGACAATTTCATCCTACTAATTAAATACTTCATTTTTGGGTTTCATGTTGTTATTTAAAAAAAAAAAATCCTAGTAATTTAAAGATTATGTGGGTATATTCTAGTATTGCAAAAATAATGCATGTAAATAAATACTTGACTATTTTAATTCACATGGTTGATTTTTTATTTGAGACCAACATGTCAATCATTTTGTGTTGACAGAAATGCAAAATTTAACGTGAAGTTATGATGTTTATTATTTATGATTGCATTAAATGGACACTTTAAGCCTTTCTCAATCATTGGATGGTCTGAAAAGGTGCTCAAAACTAAATGAGACTTTCCCTTATAGCTACATTGTGTGAGAAGCGGAAGCAGAACAGGCTCCCTAGGTACCCGGGTATGTGTCATACCATTCAAAAATGATCTTCTTACTAATGGACAGCTCCAGGGGAATTTGTTACCATAACCAGTACACAGATCTGCAGAGTGCTCATTTGACATGAGTCTTTACAATGCATTTCAAGCCTGTTTGGTGTTTTTTGCAAATTTGGTTAGTGTTGTTGTTCCTCATTTTGAGTATTTCAGTTTGCAAGCCAATAATTATGTAAGCAGATAAAAAATATATATGATTGTCATAAGTCATATTTCATATTTGTATAGGTCTTTTTGATCTCTGAATGTGCACTTCTGGAAAGTAAATTATATCTCGAATTATAATATTAAACTTTATTAGGATGTTTTAATAACAAAGTATAGATGTATGTAAAATAATAGGTTGTGAATATACAGTGTACGAAACACACTTAGTCTTTGATTATATGGAGTTTTTCTTAGCATTGTTCTATTTAGACTGTTAGACTCTTGGACTAGTTAGACTTTTACTTTTTATTATGCCATATAGCATTACAAAATTCCGCTAGTCCAATAAAAAAGGTATTACAAGATATATATAGGGAAGCAAAATCCAAATAGGTTATGGTGGGGAAAATTGTGATTGAAAACCTCTTCCACCTGAAGTCTGTGGATAGTTAATACAATGTTAAACAAAAATCTGCACACCAGTCAAGCCATAAGACTTGCTTTTCCCACAAAAATCCCAAATCTGCAGTGATGTTACAACCGCAAAGATTCAGGGTGGGCATATGCAAATTAGTTTAACAAAGAATCAAATTTTTGCCTCATTCCATTTTAAACATGGATTCCTTTGAGTCTGTGTTTGCTGTATACAACTGCTTTGAAACACAACTTAGGAAAAGATGCAAAACCAGTGAACCACTCATGGACAGCTGTTTCATTGTTAATGCAAATCATCAGCATGAGGTTAGTTACTGGTTTGCTTATTGAGGCTTGGTAGTGCTTGGGAAGCAAAATATAAATATAAATCATAGGTTATAATGGTAAACAGCAATTTGAGCATCTAGTCTGAACACTCAGAAATCTTAGACTGATTACTTAATTTTTCTCAATGTTCAAATTTATGCCGAGCATGATTGAATTACTTAAATTAAATTTGGTCATTTCCACTGGAAACATATTTCAGATATCTATCACAGTTTCTATATAAAAAAATAATAATAATTTTCTCACATCACTCCTTCAGCATTCTTTCTTCCAACATTAAATCATCTTATTTTGTTCTAAAACAATGCTACAGAATGACTCTTTATATGCATGGTATAATGTGCAGCTCTATGAGAAAGTAATACATGCATGATATGTAAAATGCTCTTTCAAACATATGACTGCAGCATGCACCATTTAGATCACTATACACAGGAATTTCAGCCGGATTATGCAACATTATACATTTGTCTTTTCTACTAGTATATCTATCAGTCTTTAAACATATTAATAATGATGAAAATGGCAAGCAATGATTAATAAATGACTCTCCTTGGAATTTTATTTTGAGTAACCTTTTTTTACACCTGAAAAAACTCCTCAAACTGTCTTTAAAAAAGGGATGTATAAGATCCGTGATTCTATGAAAGATCTTAAAGTATGGGCAGTAGTAACATACTTGCACTACACTTTCATTCTTATCTAACGCGTTACAAAACGGTGTACAAAAATTAAGAAAACAAGTAGAAAAACAAAACAAAAAACAATCATGAAATAAAATACATCGAGCACATTTCTTATTATATAAAACCGGACGAAAGTAAAGAATATATCCTTTGTCTTTGGGTAACACCTAAGCTTGTTTTGTATCAAAAATTGCAAAAAAAATAACATCTAGTAAAACAAACAAAAAGGCATATATCCATGTTCACTGTGTTTAACCCCTTAAGGACCAAACATCTGGAATAAAAGGGAATCATGACATGTCACACATGTCATGTGTCCTTAAGGGGTTAAAGTGTGGTCCATATCTGTGTAGTATTTGTGGATACAAGACATTAAGGTCGTTTAGAAAATCATTGAGCTTTACGAAAGTTTTTTATCTATCGAGTCAAAACCAACTGAAATCTTTGAATGCAATTTCTTACTGTTTAAGAAAGATATTCACCTAGAACGTTGAACTACTAAGAACTATAACGAGAACATGGTAGTACCATGATATGTCAAACTGTTCAAGGCTTACCTAGAAAAGAGTTTCACAGAGACACCGTGCTAATTTCCTTACATATACTAAAGATGCAGTGATGCTACCTATATTATTTTGAGAGAAGGAGATAACTGCAAAGCATTTTATAATTCATTCAACTCATTAAAATCAATAGTTATTTTATAATTGTTACTCACTAAAGTGAGAATTGCAGTGTTAAAAGATTTCGAATTTAAGGTCAAAATAGCTCAGTCCAGAAAAATTATCCCAATCAGCAATGCTTTCAGTTTAGCTACTTTGGCCTTTAATTTTAAATTTTCTTAGAATTCCTAGCAGTTCTCACGTTTGTGAATAGCCCTGTAAGTGTATGCAATATGTACTTGTACTTCTAAAGCCTATTTTTCTAGTCATTTTTTTTCCTCGATACCTCTTTCTCAAATCTTTTTATAAGAACGTCTTCATTTATGTTCATGTTATTAACCTGTTACCGTTTTATCATTTGCCCAGATATGTTAACCCCTCTATTACTACTTAGCATTGTGAATGTACCTATAGCTAATTGCTCTGAAACATGGAATGCCACAATGTTCTAAAGAAAAAAAGTTTTAAAAAAGCCTTGTCTTAATGCTGTCTTGTGCATGTTGTCAACATGATAAATTAAGACATTTTTTATACTTTAACTAAACTAAAAGTATTAGCTTATATTTTTTATGATTTCTATTCTCCATAAAATAATATATTGATATGTTTAAAATTAATCATAAACCAATATGATTGATTAATATGTACTTTGGATCTTTGATAAGACTATTTGTAGTGGGGTCGAGGTTTCCTTCAGTACAACTTTAATATACAATAAAACAGAGCCGGGGCATGCATGTATGATTGACTGCGCACAAATTTGCTGCGCACAAACTGGTTCACAATACTGTCAACTGTATATGAACAAACAGCAATAGTGGCATGCCAGTTTAATCAGCCAGTTCCATTCATTTTAAATGATAGGTAGAACTGTGGCTGGGAGCTAAGCTATATCTCAAAGATCCCTCCAGGACATGAATTTATGGGAAGTAAAATAACATAAATATCATAGACAAAAATGAGAGGCTCCTGATTGAGAAGCTTTTTGAGACTGTAGTCCTAGGATTTTAAGGGTTATTTTTTTTCCTTTTATTTTTTAAATTTTTTTGCATATGTCAATGAGGTATCTATATAATGTATAAACAATGGGATCACGCCCCACAAATTGTGTCCTTTTATGATCTGGTTATGTGTTGCATTAGTTAAAATGACACTGTCATGCCAAACTTGCCTTTCTCCTACTTTTCCTTTTCTCTATCTCTCTCAGAAACGGTTCTTTTCTTTATTTCTGATATAGTTTTCGTTAAAACATAAGACAAAGTAGAGACTACTTTGTCTTGTGTATTTTTCCTATGATTTACTTTCTTTGACCGAAGGAGGAGCTTAAGTCAGCTCCATTTCCTGTGTCAAGGAGAAGGGTGAGTACTTTCTCTGACACAAGAAATGGACCTGACTTAAGAAAGTCAAGCGTAGGAAAAATACACAAGACAAAGTAGTCCCTACTCCACCTTATGTTTAAAGGAAACTAGATTAGATAGGAAGAAAAGAAGAAGAAATAAGAATAAATACGTTTTCATGACAGTGCTGCTTTAAGTACTTGATATAAGGTACTTTCCTACAAAATCTGAAACTTCTGATATACACACTACTTTATGACAGTCCAAGAGCTAATCAATTAATGTATAAATATCAATTATAATATAAATATGCAAGGATACAATTTGTAGATATAATTATTACAAATGTAGCTATGTGTATTTACTTAACCAGTTGTATCATTATAGATAAGTTGGGCTATAGCTGTGCTTTTCTCACAATGATAGACCCTCATGA